TAGCCCATGGGCCTCCTCCATCATAATCGGTTAGAGCATGATAGGCTGATTCTTCCAGATGTGTAGGAGGGGATGGGATCCATGTTCTATTTAAGCTACGGAGCTCGACGTTTTGGCGACGGAGCTTAGCCAATTCCTTGGCGTCAGCTTGTCTCTATCTACGTATAACGACCATCTCTTCACGCAATAAACGCAAGTCATCATTGAGATTAGGCTGGTCTTCAGCGTTTGGTCGACCCTCCTATGTTGTGGGCTCTTGTTGCGCTTGGGGGATTCCATAAGGGTACCGTTCTTGACCGGTCACGCTGAGATTGTGTTCGGCATTCAGGGGTGGTTGGGTCAACGTCGAAGGTCCTTTACTATAGCTACCATGTATTCATCTCAGTCAGTGGAGTATGAAGGGGCTGAAAAGGTCTCTTCAGCCCCATAGTGGGCGCCAAATGTTCCTGTATTAGGAGACACACCTTACTTATCACGATCTTGGTTCTTGGTCGACATCTTCGCGTTCCGCTCTAGGTAGTCCGAGGAGGGGGGTTGTCTGCAAAGACACTCCGATGCTCAAGTAAGTGATCGACGTATTAAATGCGGTAGTTAGAGTTAGTTATGTACCTCATTGAAGGTTTATTTATACTAGTTGTTGTTGGGTCGTGATTAGGGAATGGGCCCCGGGAAATTAGGGGGTTAAATCGGTGTATTAAGTAAATTAATCTCGCCTTAATTTATCTAGCTTAGTTCCTTGTCCTTGAGTATGTGGATCCTACTGATCAAATCAGCCGACCCCGATTTTACCGAGTCGGCCAGGCCGACCGTGCTAGGTGTATTCAGTCGGATCGCCCACACTAGGCATGTTCGGTCGGGTTGGTTATCTTCCGGTACAACTTTTAACACAAACATAAACTTTGCAAATTAAATTTTGAATAAAGATATAGTCAAATAAATATGGAAAGTTTAATTTCAAATTAAACACTTACCAAAACAATTCTTGAATTCACCACAAAAAAAAAACTTCTTGTTCTTTATGTCGAGATGCAAGATCACACACAAGCCAAGAACAACACCCCCAAGTCCCAACACCTAAAATACTCTGGAAACATGATCATTGAAATTTGCATACAACTTGTTTGTATCCTTTGTCGTCATTCTTATTCTTGCATGCAATAAAAAAAACACTCGATCTTGACAAGAAGAAAAATGCAAGTTCAAGAAAGAATCAAGACCTAGACAGAGGAATAAAAACAACTATAAGAATCGCGGAGGAAGTGTGTCATTACATGAACAGAAGAAAACAAGAATCAAAAGAGAAAAAGAAAACCAAGAATCGAGTTCAAGAAGGACTCCAGTCTCATTGCATTCCAAACAGAAGAAAACATGAATCGGAAAAAATAGAAACAAGAATCGAGTTCAATTCAAAATTAGAGAAGGAAAAATAATCACAATTGTGTCTCAATTTAGTAGAGAAAAGACGATAAAAGAAAATAAAAGCAAGTGATGGAAAAAGTTCAGATAACAAACGAGAATCAGAGAAGGAAAAACAATCCATTTAGGAAAGGTTCTACTTAAACAGTTACACTATCCATGTTCTTCAACTTCTTTGTGTTCTTTGCTATTGTTTCGGTGCTGTCATTTAAACTTCGAAGAAAGAAGAAGGAAGAGGGAAGAAATAGATGAAAGAAACACATCAGAAGTGAACTGAGACAGTAATGCGCATGTGATGGGTAAATCTATTATATATATTAAATAAAAGAGGCCACCAAACAAACCTATTTATGTCATAAGTTCAAAAAAAAAAAAAAAAAAAAAAAAAAAAA